ACGTTTGGAGGTGTTTTTCAACAAACAATCGGCATTCCTATTGGAACCAACTGTGCTCCTCTACTTGCCGACTGTTCCTTTATTCATGTGAGCCAGACTTCATACAGGTACTTTGCAGAAGATTAAAAAAAAAGCTAACATTATCCTTAAACTAAATGTCCGCTATATAGAAGATGTCCTCTCACTAATCAATCACATCGAACTTTATAAAAGGAAACAACAAATACAGGGAAGTCTGCCGCATATCTTGACTTACATCTAGAAATTGACAATAAGGGTCGGTTGTGGACAAAAATATACAACAAAAAGGATGATTTCAGTTTTTCCATTTTCTATCTCTATGCAATAACACAAAGATGGCCACGGATATATTCCAATTGTCATAACCACACACCAATCAACTTTTCCTCGATTCACCGTCCAATTATCATAACCACACACCCGTCCACTTTTCCTCGATTCACCGTCAAATTGTCATCACCACACACCCGTCTACTTTTCCTCGATTCACCGTCCAATTGTCATCATCACACACCCGTCCACTTTTTCTCGATTCACCGTCCAATTGTCATCACCACACACCCGTCCACTTTTTCTCGATTCACCGTCAAATTGTCATTACCACACACCCTTCCACTTTTCCTCGATTCACCGTCCACTTGTCATAATCACACACCCGTCCACTTTTCCTCGATTAACCGTCCAATTGTTATAACCACACACCCGTCCACTTTTCCTCGATTCACCGAATGTAACATCACCGAATTGTCTCTTTCCATAAGAATGATCACCGTGTGTCACGATTGAAACAGGAACTGTTTATCCGTCTAGAGCAACAAGGACTACTCCCAGTTTTTTTGTTCGGTTCGTGTTGCTCAGCCATTAGTTTTCTATTTACTGCTTTGTGGACTTTTTGTCTTTTCGTCGTTTTTCAGTTTTTGCCACGGACTTGTCAGTTTCATCTCCGATTATGAGTCCCCTTGTTATCTTCAGCTTCTTTTTTATTCCTTTTTGCACTGAATTTCAATTTTATTGAAAATGGTGACGTTAACGAATATTAGTTAAACATGAAGTCATTGTAATAGTTTTAAAGTTTGCTAAAGTATAAAATGGTCATTGCATGATTACATTTAATTCGCCTGGGCCCATGTGAAGATCGAAAGGTGGTGGTAAATTTACTGATAGGATTGCGTCACTTTTTTTAATATTTTACTTATCTTCTCATTGGCGAAAATAAGGATTCCACGGAAGTCTGGTTCTCCAACAGTTCAATTAGATAAGCTTTAAAAGTAAATAAAAATGGCCATGTTGTGAAATCATTTTGCTATGATTAGTATAACGTATTTGAAATAGTATACCCTTAGGTATTCTTGTCAACTTAATTTTAGAGAAATCTTTTGATCGATGCTTCGTAAGTTTGTTGACTTCTTCTTCTTCCATAAACTAGTGACAATCATAGTTCCCATAAAACGAATATTGCTGATAATTGCCAGTCAATTTATTATTCACAAAAATCCCGTCTTCTGTAATGTATTTTTCTGTGGAGTTCTTTAAATTGGTATTGGTTTCCTTGTATAAATTTAAGATGTTGAAAGAATGAGCCTGTGAATGCTAGATAACAACTATATCCTGTGTATGGGGAAGGGGGGGGGACACAAGGCACTCTTATCTACAGCGCTGGATTTGCATTTCCATCGCTGCACTTTACATCTTTAGCGCTGGACGTTACATCTACAGAGCGTGCATTTATATCTTCAGCACTCGACTTTACATCTCAGGCAAGCTCTAGACTTTAAACCTCCAGCGTTATATTTTTAATACATTTACAGCTTTATATCTACAGGACTGAACTTAATTTACATCTTCAGCGCTGTACTTTATACGTCAAGACTGGACTGAACATTTATCAGCGCTGGACTTTGTATATCCAGCTAGCGCTGGACTTTGCATCTTCAGCGCTAGACATTAAAAACCACAGCTTTTTATCTGTACGAGACTCTCTGTGTAAATCAAAATGTATTAATGAAGATAATTGCAAGTTTATTTTGTATGCTTATTATATCATGTATATGTTATTTTTATATTTGTATAAGGTTTCATAAGACAATCGCTTGATTCGCTTTTTTCCTTTCCTTTCTATTTAACTGTCAAAGATTTGAAATTACTTTCTTTATATACATATTTTCCACTTTACTACCCTTGGGCAGTTTTGTGTAATTTTCTCCGTGTGATGAATGGTAATCTACATCCAACTTAGATACCACAAACATTAAACAATGTAACAAGCATATACATCTGTGTTCATTTCCAATTTGTGAAAGATTCATAGCCAAGAGGATCTTCATTATTCTCGTGGCATCTCGTATGATACGAGATCCTGATTTGAATTTATGGTAAATGTAAATGTCAGAAGAGTGACAAGTAATATGTCAACTTTTGTTTCGCCTTCTCCTACTGACAAAGAAAGTTTATAATTGTGATAAAGTAAGGGATCGATTTCTGATGTTATACTGTTATACTCTGTTCAAATGATGAGCCTCGCTTTTCTTCCTGTTTCTGAAGCTCGTACAAACATTTTACATTTTCTGACAATGTAGTTATATTGTATGTACATTGTTTTTCAGATACAAATTGATTCATTTTTGTTAGGATGTCGTTCGATGTATTTTTCAACAAACACATATACATTTCAGTGATGTTTCAAAATAGCCATCAACAACAATATTCAGCGTTGAATAATTCTTACATGATTTGCATATCTACAAGCACTTGAATGTGGTCCGTTAGAATTTTCCTCTTGGTTTACACTTCAATAAGCAATGTTTCCGAAACTTTTTCGTTAACACTATGTCAATTTTACTGTGATATATTCATACGCAATATGAATGGAATCCTTGGGTTCCAAGAAAGTTGAAATAAAGAAATAAAAATGATTGACTTGACAAATATAAGGATGAAACATTTTTTTCTAGAGGTTTATGCAGATATTTTTTAGAATAACTTTTATACGTTATTCTATGATATTGATACTTCAAAAATTTTCAGTTTACAAATAAAGGCAACAGTAGTATACCGCTGTTCGAAACTCATAAATCGATAGAGATAAAAACAAATCCGGGTTACAAAATTAAACTGAGGGAAACGCATCAAATATAAGAGGAGAACAACGACACAACAAAAAACACAACATTAAAATGTAACACACACAGAAACGAACTATGATATAACAATGGCCATTTTCCTGACTTGGTACAGGACATTTTAAGAAAACAATGGTGGGTTGAACCTGGTTTTGTGGCATGCCAAACCTCCCACTTTTATGGCAACGTCAAACACAACACCAAAACTACAACATCACATGACAGGACCACAATACAAATGAATAGGAGAACATATAGGACAAAGAAACACACGAATAATAGCTAACAAAAGGTATTAGGCTTAAAATTCAATACGCCAGACGTGCGTCTCGTCCACACAAGACCAACCAGTGACGCTCAGATGAAAAAAGTTTGAAAGCCAAAACAAGTACAAAGCTGAAGAGCACCGAGGACCAAAACTTCCAAAAAGTTGCGCCTAACACGGCCAGGGTTTTCTGCCTGGGACAAGAACATCCTTATTATTTAGAATAATTTATAATTTTGCAAACAGTAAATTTTATAAAATGACTATATAATAGACATACATGATAAAACCGAAGTGGGGACTAACTACAGAATAAAAACGGATACATTACATAAAACAACTTAATCCAACACATAAAAATACACAGCCGAGTTAGCCAAAGCCTCAACGCACAAAGTGACGTCACATTTGAAATTCTAAAAAAAAAAACACAAAGTGACGTCACATTTGAATTTGTAAAAATATTTCCCAAAAATAAGATAGGATTAGGATTGATTCAAGATTAGATTTGTAATACTGACATTACATTTATTAATAACAATGAAAATTACAATTCTTATTAATATCAAATTGTGGTAGTAATTAGATAATTAATTGTATTATCTAGCTATGTCGGTGTTTCTTCTTAATCAAACTGTAAACCAAATATATCGTATAAATTTCGTTGAACCAAACTAAAATCTAATAAATGAAGGGGGTGATTAATTATCTTTACCATAACACACGAATATAACAGAAAAGACGTTAAGACATCTGACAAAATCCGACGAGAATAACAAATATAACATCAAAATTAAATACATGAATTTGGGATAGAAAAGTACCGTGACACGTCTTATAGCAATGCGGTTACACACTCAGCAAAACAGTCACAATCGGGAATAAGTCACGTTCGGTAATTAAAAGATCAGACGACGTAATGACAAACCACAATCTAACACGTGGTAAAAATGTCCTTAGTTAGTTTGGACAAAGACACAATCGTATGGATCAACCAATTCGTGATGGTGTCCATAAAATTTACGGAGTGTCATTTTTAATCTGTCCTCCTCGTAACTTTGTTGGAGCAGTTTCTGCGTAAGGAGCACTCTCCTGTATATGAAGTCCGTATAGTGTGAACAAGCACGAGAATAACGTATCAATTGAGATATGTAAACATCATACGAAGGGGCAGATGGTATGTTACTGCTGAGAAATGGGAAATTGATAATTGGGAAGTTGAAATCGTCCCGTTTATCATAGATTTTCGTGTGAAGTCGTCCATCTGTGTCAATATTGAGGAAAAGATAAAAAAATTTACAGTCTGACACTTGCGGGTTTGAGCAAAACCGACGAATAATAAATGTGCATCTAAACATAAAATGTATTTTGTTTTCTTGTAGATTTGTATTTTATAATTTTGAAATTATACTTAAGAACCCGACCCATCATAAAAAATGGTAACTTGGACTTCAATTGGACGTTGATAAATTTAGATAAATAAATAATAGAATGGAAAAAAAAATTCTCTATGAATTCTGTTCAATAAATATATTGGTAGCCTACAGAACATCGACAAACATAAGCAATAAATTATTTTGTTTGAACATATTTAGCGACGGCTGGAATGATAGGCCTGATGTTGTCAAAGACAACGAGGCGGCAGCAGCAGGTGGTATGTCAATAAAGCTTCATTCACCTCTGATTGATTGGTTTGATGATATGTTCCAGAACCTAAGTCCGTACACCAATGATAGAAATCCGTGGTTTCAGGAATATTGGCAAGAAAATTACAAGTGCAGCATCCCTGGAGCAAAACCCACACAATTCAATAATACCTGCACAGGTAATTATTTATGATATGCAATAAGATTCCATTTGTCATGAGAAAAAAAATCGACAAACCAATTACTTTTACTTTTTTCCAAATCTTGTCTATTTAGACTATTAGTCGTATTTGATAACTAAAAACATACATATGAAAAAAAAAGCTGTGAATTTTTGTTATTCTGCGAAACATGTTTAAGGCATACACGTCCCAATGATGAATATTTTATATGTTATGAAAAGAGGACGGACAAGAAACAGTGGGAAAAGGGACATTTAAGCAATAATCACCCTCAATTCCACAAAGATTTTGGATTTCCTGTGCCAAATTTTCTCGGACATGTTTATCCAACCAGACTCAAGATAGCGAACATTAAGGTGACTCAGACAAGCGAACAAAAGAAAAAACGCGCCAATTTGGTCATGCCTAGACTTGCAATATCATTAAAAACATTCATAAATCAAAGTACTGTCGTACTGTTAATTCGGATGAACCCAAGATCTGATGGCTGTCGAATAAATCATACATATTTCCATCTCCTTGTAGACTACTAGATGAAACTTGCAGTTGCTTTCTTACGTCGAGTGTCAAACATTTCAGCCACGTGTAAGACGATAAAATAATTAAATTTAATCAATTGGCTATGTTCTGATGACACAGAGGGTCGAAATGGATAACTGCAAAAAAGTTAAATGTGTTTTGCATCAGAATTAATTTAAAATAGCAAAATTTAGCGCCCAATTAAATATTGATTTTATCAAAACATGTTGAAAATTGATGGGAAAAGTATAAGATAAACATATAGACTCGTCAATATTCAAATTCCAGAAGGATTAGACAACTTTCAAAATCTGACTTTGTGAGTGAAACAAATACAATCCTGTACACATGGGCAAATTTATCATACCTCTTTCTTTAAGTCTTAATTAAACTTCCCATACATAATGCTTAAACATAGTGTTGACAGAATTTGACGTAAATTTGCACCTCAATGGCGAAATGAATCAGAATCACGAAACTACCACTGGTGACATGTAAAATAACTAAATAACTTAAGATTACTTGTATCAGGTTTTTCTACACATTGATATAGTAAGATATCAGCCTCTCGACACAACGTGAAGCTTTTTTGCTCGTTCGCTGCACTTATATTCGCCAAAAAGATCCACACTGTGTCTCACGACTGATGTGTTACAATATCAATGTGTTAAAAACCCGATACTAGTAATCTAAACTGATCACATACGGAGTGTGTTTGAATAAAAGGGAAGTGAGTATACGTCAATAATACAAAAAATCAAGAAACCAATAAAATTGGAAAAGATGTATGTCAATAATTTATCAACTGAGTTTTTTAAACTTTGAGAAAATAAATGTATGATTATTATTAGACTTATAGTTGTGACATTCCCCTTACACCAAATGCCAAATTCATTTAAATATAATTTCTTTCTATTTGATAGGCAATGAAAAGAATCCAAATTTTGTTCAGGATTCTAAGCTAGGATTTATACAAAATGCTCTGTATACAATGGCATATGCTCTCCATACTATGCAGGAAGATCTATGTGGTGGAAGACCAGGTATATGCAAGAAAATGTCACCTGTCAAAGGTTCTCTTTACAGAAAGTATTTACTAAACGTTTCTATTACAACTTATAGCAACGAAAGTCTTTACTTTGATGACAATGGAGACCCACCTGCAAGGTAATGCGTATTTATGTGTTGTGGTTATTTTTCGTTCGTTACAGTTTTAGATGTTTTTGCTTATAGATTTCAGTTTGAGAAAAATTCCTTTGATCCATTCTTTGTATCATTTGGTTCGTAATTCTAATAAACCACATCATTTGGTCTTAGTAATGAAAAAAAAAGTTATAAATATAAATTTTTATTAAGTCATAATTGATGACATAAATTAGAAATGATATGAGACATGAGATGATTAATTAACTAAATATTTTAAAGGACATTATTAATTTTTTTTTTTTTTATTTTCATGGAAGTTAACAACTTTTTTTTATTTATTTGCTACCAATATCGAACACAATGTCATCCTTGACGGTGAGATAAAAAAAAATCTCTAATAAACAACCGGCTGTCGTAAAGTATTACCAATGAAACATATGTATATGTTTAATGTGTGGTCGCTATGTCGCAAAAGCAGGGGTTTGAATCCCGTTGAGGGAAGAAAAGAAATTAATAACGCAAATTTTGAGATCTAACATTGTTGAGCTAAATTTAAGATGAAGTATATATAAATAATGGTGTTAGCCCTGTAGTATAATAGGTTATCTGATGGAGAATGTGTGTTGTCAAATATTTTGACGTATATGATAAAATTGATATTGATGTGACCGCATGGTAAGTAACATTATCATTCTTTACGACAGACAAAAACAGCTGATCCGCATGGTATAACATCAACTTGCCACTATATATCATATATCGTGTTACAAATTAAGGCGGCAGTAGTTTACGGATGTTCAAATCGCGTATATCGATTAGGAAGAGACAAATCAAGGACACAGACAAAAGCCGAGGGAATCGCATGAACTCCTAAAGGAGCGAGACCGGGTGCCTCGACAGGGTAAGGGTCTCCTGCTATGCATGCATTATCGCTCAAGCTACTTTACACTCAGTCAAAATACTACTGTAAGGAATAAGACGCAATTGGTAGAATTACAGATCATGATGACTATACTGGTGTCCTAAGATCTAACTCCGCAAAAACATGTCGCTAGTGAGTAGAGACACTGACGCATTGCATCGGTCAACCAATCCATGATGAACCGTAAAACATATGTAGTGTCGATTTCAGTCGTTCTTGCTCATACTCTGTTTGAGCAGTTTATGATTGGTTGTTGGCTGCTTAACGTCCAGTGACGTTTTGTGTAAGGAGCACGCCACTGTTAATGGAGTCCGTATATGATGAACATGCACTAGCGTACTGTTTTAGCTCAGATATGTGGTCGCCATGCGATAGCGCAGAGTGCATGTCAATGCTGAGTAATGAAAAGTTGACAATTGGAAAGTTGAAATCATCACGTTTGTCATAGATTTTAGTTTGTAGTCGTCCATCTTTGTCCATATCGATTAAAAGATCGAGATATGAAACAGACCTTGTACTTTTGGAAGTATCCTGAATCTCAAGTAGAGGCCTCGGTGTCATAGTGGTCTACGTAGTTCAAATACTGTATTACTAGCCTGTTAACACTGAGACTGTGAATAAACTCATCATAGATACCAGGATTAAAATTGTGTACGTCAGACTCGCGTCTCGTCTACAAAAGACTCATCAGAGACGCTCCAATCAAAAAAGTTAAAAAGGTCAAATAAAGTACGAAGTTGAAGAGCATTGAGGACCCAAAATCCCGAAAGGTTTTGCCAAACATTGTTGCCAAATAAAGCTAAGGTTAATTCAAACCTGCATGTGGCAGGTGCGTTTTAATCCAATCTTAAATGAACTCCGGTGGATAGTTGTCAACTTTTACTCTAGGTGACACACCACTTATTCAACCAATCCACATTGAGAAAATATGTAAAAGTAGCCCTATTCTGACAAAACATAGTGCTTGTAATGATGATTTAAAGAACATTTACATGAATGAGAAATATATTTGGATCATTTAGGGACTTTCCGATTTGAATTTTCCTAGGAGTTCGGTATTTTTGTTATTTTATTTTTTTTTAGAGCTCACATTTACTTTTCCATAAATTTGCATTATAATTCTAGTGTAGATGTGCAACATAGTATGACTGATATAAAAGGTTTTCAGAAAGTCAGAGCGCTATATTAAGTAGTAGGTGACGCCATATTTTAATTTGGCATATATAAAGACGTTACATGTACAATTCATGATATACTTGGTTGTTATGAATTTAAGATTATGGTAAAATATTCAGAAATCTTGGAAATTTTGTAAAATATAATGGGGTTTTGAATTGCATGGTGACACCTTAAATCACGAAAAGTTTTATGCAATATCTATTGCTTTTCTCTCTTTATAGCATCTATGCTATAAAAATATGCTTTAATGACCTCTAAAACAAATCCATTTTGACAACCAGTCAGACAATAATTAAGTTTTCTTTAAGGACATGAAAAATAAAAACCGAGTAGAAGAAACATGTGTTGAAAGATTTAATCCTCAAATAGGACTCCTATACAATCTAAATTAATATTTTTTTGTTTTTTGTTTTTTAAGATGCCATGTGAAAAATGCCATCGTTTTTTTTTTATCTTAAGAGTTAATCGATATTCAATTCATGGGAAGAACATTTTCCCAATTAGAAATCTTTAGTAAGACCTATGTATAGTTCTTTGTATCTTGTATTGTTTTTTTTTGTTTGTTAATTGTGTTAGAGTGTCTTTGTGTATTTCCTTTTTAGTCTAATATTTTGTAGTCACTATATTCTGATTTATTACAGATACGATATAATGAATTTCCAAGAAATAAAGGATGACTTTGGAAACGTGTCGTACAAATACATTATGGTAGGTTCATGGGAGACAGGACATCTAATTATTGATGAAGACAATATTTATTGGCCAAGAATTGGAAAGGTGAAACCTATGACATCTGTATGTAGTGAGCCCTGTAAGAAAGGATTTGTTAAGGTAGGTCTTGGATGTTAGGAAGTGTTTGACCGCCCTGTGAATAGAAGGTTAATGTCCCTCATTTTTACCAGTGAAGTTTTTATATCTTTTGATTTCGACTTCATAAGATTACATTTTTCAATTAGAAGGAGTATTCATGTATTAAACTGAAACTGTAATAACATTCGAAATTCGGTGTAACAGGTGTGCATTTGATAAAACAAATTTGGCAAACGAAAATTTGAACACTTTTCGAATATCTTTTTTTAGGTACATTCTGGTCATATAACTCTTCAACTGTTTCGGTTCGGATATATCCTCGGCTTTCAAAAATTCGGCTTTGAGCGTTCCTAAGGAAGGTAAATCCAGAAAAGAGTTTCGAACGCATGAAATTAATAACGTGTAGTTTTCAATTTTTTACAGCACTGGGTTGATACCTCTGTGGGTGGACTATCAGTGCCCGATGGTATCATCAGTCAGAAGTCAGTACTTTGGTACTGACATGATTTATAACAAACCTATTTAAAATTGCCCGTTTATAAATTTTGAAATTATAAAGAAATTAAGGTTTCAACTTCCGCAAGCAAAGTTGACCTTAGGTGAATCTGGCTAATTTTTTAGGTAGATTTTTGGTCATATAGCTCTTCAACTGTTTCGGTTCGAATACATCCTCGGCTTTTAAATATTTGGCTTTGAGCGTTCCTGATGAAGGTAAATCGAGAAAAGCGCTTCGGACGCCTGAAATTAATAACGTGTTGCTTTCATTTTTTACAGCACTGGGTCCATACCTCTGTGGGTGGACAATCAGTTCCCGGGTATCATTATAAAATTAATAACTTGTTGTTTTCATTTTTTTAATGATGTCTTGTAATTGAAATAATTTTTAAACATTTTAAGTTCCTTACTATAAAGAATATTCGAAAATTCTGAATCATTATGACAATAACAATTTGGTTATTAAGATAATTAACAGTAAATTAACATTATTTTATTTAATACTACATTTATCTCCTTTCAGAATATCGAAACTAATATCAAGTGCTGTTGGAAATGCACAAAATGTGAGGATAATGAGATTATGTTGGACGAGGAAACTTGTAAACCTTGCAGTAAAGGGTGGTGGCCTAACGAAGATCTGTCGGGTCAGTATATACCATCCTTAAGGTATATGGGGTAAAAAGGAATTGCAGTCATTTTATACGTTTTGCCAAATGAATAATTTATTGTGAATTCACTTACTTAACTGTCACTATGTCGTTGTGTGGTTCATTGTTTTTCATGCTATTTAACAAATCAACAAATGTGCGAATTGTACAATTTGTTTTTTTTTTCTTTCAACGGAAAGCAAAATTACAAGATGTCGAAATAAGTTTGAAGCACATATGCCAACTTCGAAAGTGTGTTTATCGTCACTGTTGCTCCAAATCATATATCGGAGATTCAAAAGTTACTAATGATAAACCCAAATAACACCAAAAAAGACGTAAAGTCAGTTTAAAGAATATCATTGAGTTTTGTAGATATCTTTAGAAATTAACAATCTTGATATATTTTTGTCAGATGAATTTTGAATAAAATACAAGAGATGATTAGCCAGACAATAGTAAAATTCAACTGGGTCACATCACTGACAACATTACCTCCATATAGCAACAGGGTCACATCACAACATTCCCTCCATATAATAACGGTTACATAGCCATCTACATTACCTCCATATAACAACATGGTAACATCACCGACAATATTTACCTCCATTTAACAACAGAACGTATATACAACAGCATCACATCACTGACAACAATACCTCCATATATCAGCAGAGTCACATCACCGACAAAATTACATCCATATAACAACAGGGTAGCATCACCGACAACATTACTTCCATATACAAATGAACGTATACATAACTGTTAAATAAACAAATTTCATAATTACATTGAAACTGGTGGTAAAACTGTTTTTATAGCCTAAAATATCTTCAAATCATCAGACAATCGTAGGATTTAATCATTACGATTTCGTACTAAAGTTGTTTCTATGTATATGTAAACTTAGAATATAATAAAGTGCTCAAGGCTCAAATCATCTTTTGATTGGTTTTATACAAGAATATGTTTCATTGTCATTGCAATGTTTTTAATTAGAATTTATTTTCAACATCTCGTCCAATCGTCCAATCAAATTGCTCGAATTTCCCTTCAAAGTTTCATAGTACATACTTTTTCCATGTACTTAGTATCTATGCATGGATGATCAGGAGGGGTGATTAAATTTTTATTGTATTGCTACTAGAAGAACTGGCATGAAAATACGAATATTGTTTGATTAAAATCTGCTGTTATAGAATTTTGGAAATTATTTTTAATTTAGGAATATATCTCTCTCATGCAAAAATCTCCTCGACCGGATTTGACAATAACATTTTAGGTCTGTTTTCAGCTCTTTAACGTTTGTATTAGATTTGGGATTTTCAAATTGTGAAGTCTCGAGCTTTACTGAAGAGATATTGATTGTCGAAATTTGCATCTGGTGCAGAAAAATTGGTACAGTTAATGTTATTAATGAAATAGTCTTTTGTCATATTAAAGAGTTGCAATAAAATATTGGCTGTGGAATAAAATTTATTTGTAACAATAATTTCGAATTTATTGCTTTTAACTGTAAATAAACAAAAAGCTGCTTCCTCACGAAAAGATTACATGATTAACATTCATACTCACAATAAGGAAACTAGTACAATTCCTACAATTGCATCGTATCTGTTGTGTCATCTAATGTCTAACACACACATTATTTATATATTTCCCATATAATATGAAAAAATCCCTATATAACGATGACCGATCCACAAAAGGAATGCATAAATAGCAAGTCATGCATTACTTATAAACATGGCAATGACAATGAAGCCAGTTATTGATTAAAACCATTCATAGGTCATTTGTTCGAATTACTAAGGACTTTCTACCGAGGGAAAAGCTTATCTTGGCTGTATTTGGCAAAACCTTTTGGAATTTTGGGTTATCAATACTCTTGCATGCTTTATTTTGCCTTTTAACTTTCATTCGAACATTGCTGATAAGTCTGTTGTAGACGAAACGCGATTCTGGCATACAAAATTATAAATCTAGTATCATTGATGAGTTTATTGAGCCTTGAGCATTGAAATATTCTAAGTTTGTTAAAGAATGATAGATTATCATACTCTTACATATACAAAGATGTTATCTGTTATCCGAAACAACAACCATCTCACTCGATGCTAACTTGATATACATAACAGTGCCTAGTGCAACGATGTTTAATTTATGTACAATTTGCTCATTTGCTTTTGACTGTCATGTGCATGTCTTTTAGTCAATTATTTTCCTTAATTGTTTGAGAGGATAGATTCAAGGGAGGCGCAAAATGCTTCGTAAAATCTGAAAATATCATTATTTTGGTATAAAATACGTCAAAAATGTATCTCCTAGCTACAATTGCCGTACTTGTTAGGATCGAACCCCACTAACCGCGCGTTTCCGGAAAATGTACCATGCTGGGGGTATAGCACAACTTGTGAATGTACTCCTGAATGTAGGAATGGAGGACTAAATGCTGAATAATACCCGATGTTATTTTTATTGTTTTTAGATTTATTTAATGAATTCGAGTTATAATAACTGGAGATGTTCTGCTTAATTTACCTCTTATTGATTTTAGCTGAATCTTGGGACTTTTGTTTTGTTTTTAATTTAGTTCTATTGATTTCGGCAATAGTGCGGATATTGTAAAATTATTTGAATTTTTCTGATAGATTGAATGCACAAGTATGTCCATTGATGCAATATAAACTATTTCACACTGACTCCAGAGAATTCAACTTATTAACATGCCACACTTCTTCTCGTCATTATTTACTCCCATTTCGACATTAAATAACGAACACGGCATTTTCTTTTAAAACTGCGTAGAAATTATGAAATCAACATTTGCGTCCATAGCCAATGGTTTTTTTACTGATATATGGAATATTTACATCCTTCCTGATTAGCAAATTGGAAGGAAAATTAAAAAAAAAGTGATTAAATATCAAAATAAGGAGATTTTATATAATTTCCAAGTCATTTGACCTGCACGGTTGTTATGACCCTTTAACAAGAACTCGTTCGGGTCAAGAAGGGTCACCCGAAACGTGCAAATTAAACGACAACTACCGACTCCCTTTTTTCAAAAACTATACTATTAACTACTAGACTACTCGAACAACTAGGATATATAAAATATGGCTTTCGTTAGTCTGGTAATGCCTTTCCTCGTCGGCTTTATCTATGGTTGTAACACAGTACATGATGTACAGTGGCAAGTAGATCGTATAACTTGCAGATCAGCTGGTTTTGTCTTTCATAAAGGATGATAATTTTACTTACCATGCCGTCACATCAAATTTTAATTTCTAATTTTTGTTATATACTAGTATATATATATATATATATATAAGTCTAAATTGAAAACAACGTTCAAACCTATGAATGCGTTGGATAAAAACCGCAATTTTTATACGTGTGCATGCAAAACAAATTTCTTGGTAGAGGGGTCTAAATACAGCACAAACAACATTTTCCAAAAGACCAAAAAAGTGAAAAAGTATATTTTAACAAAACGCATTTGACTAGCAGATCGAACAGCGGATGTTCTTAAACCCTGCTAACTGGCATTGGCGATTGCCATATAAACGGATCACCAGATGTAACAAAATGAATCTTAACTATTAATTTAATACCAAATAGAAAACAATAAACTTGCAAAAAAGATGGTATACCGCAAACAAAAGGTGCAAAAATTGGTATACCGCAAACAAAAGGTGCAAAAATTGGTACACCATATCCGGATTTCGACAATTAATGTCTCTTCAGTGATATTGAATATAATATGTGTTTTCAGCCGTGTATCACCTTCACTGGTGATCCAATAGATGGATCTGTCGTAGAGATGTCACTTGTTTAAACGTACTCAAATATATATATATATATATTTATATATAAAAAAGCACCTGCGGTTTAAATCTCCAGATGCATTCTCGTCAATCATATTAGAAGGAAACTCTTCAGAAATGTATTCTAAATTTACATTAAGCGTCCTCTATTTTTTTTTTTTTTGTGACAATATAATATCGTCCACCGATAACTCCTGTGAAAAAGCGTCCTTTCTGACTACTAGTACTTAATGAGCAGTAGGAAATGTTTCGCGGAAAAACTGTTATGCGAAAACTGTTATTGGGTAATCAAATCGGTACATGTCATTTAACCTTCACGGTTGGTATGATCCTTAACACGAACTCGTTCTGGCCAAGAAGGGACACTCGAACCGTGCAGATTAAACGACAACTACCGACTCGGCTTGTTTTCAAAAACTTTACTATAACGTAATTGCTTTTTAACATGCTTTAACTTTTAAAAATATCCAAAAGACAACACAGAAATTTGGCAATAGGTTAAACAATACAGAAAACTACTCTTGATTTTTCATTCTGCTCTTTTGATTTTGCAGCTTGTCGGAAGTTACCGATAGAGAACATGAGCTGGGCGGACAGTGAGGCTATGATTGCTTTGATAGTGGCATCATTTGGAATCTTTGTTACATTATGGATAAGTGTCATATTCATGCGACATCACAATACTCCAGTAGTCAAAGCTTCCACCAGAGAACTCATGTACATTATTATGATTGGCATTCTTGTTGCATATTCCTGTAACTTTGTACTTGTTGCTAAACCTACTATTGTTACTTGTTATTTAACAAGAATATTGCCGGGAATATCGTTTTCTATGATTTATGGAGCGCTTGTGACAAAAACAAATAGGATCGCAAGAATTTTGGAAGGGACGAAAAAAATAATCACCAAGAAACCACGCTTTATGAGTGCATCCTCTCAAGTGATTATTTCGTGCATTTTAGTCGGTGTTGAGTGCGCCGTTATAACTGTCATGCTAATTATAGAACCAGCAGACTGCACATTAGATTATCCAACTACTCGTCGTGTCAGACTAATCTGTAACACAACAACTCTTGGTATTGTAGTACCTCTTGGGTTTGATCTTTTACTTATATTTATGTGTACATTATATGCTGTTAAAACTCGAAACCTACCAGAAAACTTTAATGAGGCTAAATTCATCGGATTTACCATGTATACGACTTGTGTGATTTGGTTAGGATTTTTTGCCATTTATTTCGGAAGTGACCCAAAAGTTTTCACATTATCTATAGCCATCAGTCTTAGTGCATCTGTTTCACTTGTATTGCTTTTCTTCCCAAAAGTTTATGTTATTGTTTGGGCACCAGAGAAGAACACACGTAGTGCTTTTACCACATCAAAAGACGTTCGATGTCATTTTGGATCAGTGTCCTACAACTCTGTTGATAAGACAGAAGGAGCGTAAGTAAAACGACTTTATTGAAAAACCTTCGTTGCATCTCCCAAAAAGAACAATTGTAAATTTTCAACCGCAATATACTTTTTTTGAAAACTAGGTTTGCTGCAAGATACATAAAAATATAAACATGTATATATAGAGTATATATAGAGTATAATTAAAACCCGCTAGTTGTTGTAATCCAGCGCAATTTTTATATTTAAGAAATTGTGGTTTAATAGGTAATCAACAATTTAACAAATATCCATAAAAGTAAAACACTGTTCAGCGTTACTGTACACATTGCTGTTGAAAACCATTTTGATACTATATTGCAAAGTGTACATGTTTTTGTTAAGTTTTGCTTCCGTCAGAAGGACATATTCATATTATTGTTGAAATCTTCCAAAATTGACATCTTTAACCGTTTACACATGTTTTTATTTTCGGAAGTACGACATAATGTCCTTATAACCCAATAGAACACAAATGAGGCTGTTATCTTAGTAGGATTTGAAAAAATGTGGAAATTCAGATACAAGAATAATCGTAAGTCTCCTATCCTTTACATGGTTTTAATAGGCGTTTGTTTAACCAATTATTATTTGTATATTTATTTTATATCCATCCTCACATGGTGAGTAAATCATTATTGATCAAGATAATCGCATACTAAAAGTGACAGTTTCATTTATAAAGAGAAATGGTTTTATCTCAGCTTATATCAAGTAAAGGCAAAAAGTTCATGAGCTAAATAAGCCCAGAAACAATATAAATTGTCTTAGGAACTAATTTACTATAACTACATTATTGACAAACTATAGACTTGGTATATTGTCGGAGATATTGTAACCTGAAACTTTGCGGTGCAGTATAAATTATGTAGTTGTTTTCTTTTGTTGATGACTTGGTAAATGTGATATGAAAATCACAGATCATTTATATTGTATTTCAGTTTCTATATATCTATACGTGTTTTACGACTTGTGGCCTTTGTCGCAGATCTATCAGATATTGCATTTATTTCTTTTCCGAAGAGATAGTGCACGAAAAATATGTATTACATGTCAAAATATGCTTACACTACGTGTATTATTTATTACGTATTCAAAGCCTCTGATGAATGCTTGACGGTAAAGCAAGCATTTGAAATACTTTCGTCGTGATATGCATGTAGCATAATGCCTGAATTGTTTAGTCAGTCGCTTCTAAAGTATGATAATTTTGTGCTAATTCAATACAATAACTTTACAGCACTCATCGATTGGTGTGGGTTCTTAATTTTTACGACATCCGGCGATTGGTGTGGGTTACTAGCATTACGACACCCTTCAATTGGTGTGGGTTCCTAGTATTACGACACCCAGCGATCGGTATGAGTTCCTAGTATTACGACACCCAGCGATTGGTGTAGATTTCTAGTATTACGACACCTAGCGATTGGTGTGGTTTCCTAGTATTACGACACCCAGCGATTGGTGTTGGTTCCTAGCATTACGACACCCTATAATTGGTGTGGCTTCCTAGTATTACGACAAACAGCGATTGGTGTGGGTTCCTAGTATTACGACACCCATCGATTGGTTTCTAGTATTATGTTGTTCTGATATAACACATGTTTTACATTAAACTCAAGCTCTACAGCAAATCAGGTTTACTTCATATTCAGTAGCTACTCTTCACTTAGGCACTTATTAGGTGCAGTAGAAAATTTTCTAACTTCTTATTGTTTGAGAAGAAACTTTGTTACACTTTTTTTCTTAGTTCTGTTATTTTTGGTGGCAACTGAAGATAATAAATGTCACTTTTCAGATCTGTTGGCCTTATGTCACGAAAATTACTGTTTTGGGTGATGGATTTTCGAATTAACGATTTTTGTGTGTGCATTTTTACCTTTGCAAATGTGTTTTTTTTTCTTCAGATAATTTACTTTCATTTGTGAATTGTCATTAATATATGAAAAGTAAATGGAAAAAAACAATTCGTTAGTAAAAACTAAGTTGAGATATGAAACATCACCCAATTGGAATTAATTACTTTTTAACCATTTAATTTGACACGCATATGACGACGACGAATTTGAGCACAAAACAAAACTAATCCTGATGTTTTATAACCATATCATATAAAAAGATGTGGTATAATTTGCCAATGAGACAACTATCCACCAGAGACCAAATGACATAGAAGTTAACAACTATAGGTCACTGTACGGCCTTCAACAATGAGCAAAACCCATACCACATAGTCATCTATAAAAGGCCCCGAAATGACAAATGTAAAACCATTCAAACGAGAAAACTAACGGCCTGATTTATGTAAAAAAACAATGGACAAAATACAAATATGATGTACAGCAACAAACGACAACCACTGAATTACATGCTCCTGACTTGGAACAGGCACATACATCATGTGGCGGGGTTAAAAATTTTAGAGGGCGCCAGGGGTGTAACATTACAACACATGAACGAACTATAAAAGTCAGTTGAAAGGGCTTAACTCATCAGATCGATACAAAGCAGAAAAAAAACAAGTAACACAAACACAGACCGGACGTGGCAGGGTATTTATATATCCCTACAACAACAAAAAAACAACAAGTACAGATCTGAGAGTACTAGCGGTTACTTAGTTCAAAGCCAAGAACAACTAATAAAAAAATGATGTATCTAAGACTAAAGTATCAATCAGTACACATCCAACGTCCAATGGATTTAGTGTAAAGACGTCATTAACAGTCAGAGAACATGACCTTGTGCAATGCCAAAATACAGGTATCGACAGATTGAAGAACCGTGAATATGTAAATGTATATAACAATGATATTAGTTTGGTTTTAATTTACTGATAACAAAATTAATATTTAAACCAATAAAACCAATATTGAAAGATCTAATTACAGTGTTGAATTGGTAAGCTTTTAGAATAAGTTTATTTAAAGGATCGATAAGTTTACCCAGATCGTATCTAAATTTCCGGGCTCGGTAAACAACATCTCCGTAAAAAATTAGGATGTGCTATCCCGTTTGAAATAAGTTTTCTACGGGTACAGCCAAACTTCCAAACCAAATCTTTGTATCTATGGAAGAATTTAGGTTTTAAGTAATTTATGGAAACGAAATCCCTGATTTAATAATTTACCAGTAATACATAGATTACATTCATTGAAATCCAAAACGTCACTACAGACACGGGCATATCGAAAATATGAAATATAAACACCGTAAGATGGTGCCAAAGGAACATCACCATCCAAAAAAGGAAAAAATTAATAATAGGGAAAGAAAAATCGTTCCTTTTGTAGTAAATTTTAGTGTACAGTTTCCCGTGTATAACTGAACTATCTAAATCTAGGAAAGGAAATCTAGTTCATTTACAACTAGATGTGTTGTATATTAAATATTGTCTTTTATCTATATGCGGTTAGCCACTACTAATATTTCCAATCAAAAAGTATCTTGTTGTCGTAAAGGTGAATACGACTGTTCAATATATTGTACATTTAAGACTTACATTTCATGATAAGTTGATTAATATGATCTTTGAAAATCTGATTTACCAGCTTTTACTAGTATTATCCAGAAAATGCATTTAAATAGAGGACGCATAATTCCTTTTAAGAAATTTCCTGAATGCTATTTAGGTATACTTCAAACCAAGTGTAGTTTATCAAAACAATTAGCCTGTCACAACACTTATTAAGCAAAACCAATGGAAAAAGGAAAGTCTATTAAATGTTGGAATTCATTGATTCTATCTATTAAAAAACCGAAGCTGTCTTAGATACTGACAGCTTGAAATGTGAACAAACTGACAAGTTATAAATCAACGATTTAACGACCAGTGAATGTCTCGTTAAATGTTGACTACTTCTATTGTTTCTGACGTAAGATAAAATTCACGATAATCATCGATTCAAGTTGATACCGCAGCGCAAAATTTCTGTTTCTGAGTAGACACTAAGAATGAAATTAAATGTAAAAGATTGGTTAATAGATCGGTAGTCAATGTAAAAAACTAACAGTCAGATATAAACAGAATTGTTAAAAAAATAAATAAAATAAAGTTGTATTGTATAGCCGGATTTTCAATTGTCCTCACTAACTATCTGTTGCACGGGTATAAGTCACACCTTAGGTCAAAAGTTCTGGTTTGTTCGTATTTACATTGTCATTTCTTCATTTTCGAATTGACAAATTTGAATTTTTTTATGGTCTATATACCATTAGCATTAAAAAAAATCAGGCAAGGGCAGGTCGGGCAAATTTCCCCTGGTGTTATTTCACTCCTATTTTTAAAACGTCTTTTAAGGTATGCTAAAATTCACTGCATCACAGCTTCACGTGTATACATCGAGCTTCTAAACATGTACCAAATTTTAAATATTTAATGTGATTAAAACAGATGCTAACAATTGTTTTGCTATTTTGTCCCAAAAGAAAAATGTCATTCTTACCGAAATCAAAATTGTAACAGATGAAAAGAAGCTTGACATATTGTTAAAGACTGTATGTTTGGTTATATTTGTTGATGTGTTGATGTCCCAATGACATATTGGTGAAGACTGTATGTTTGGTTATATGTCACGGTTTATTTGTTGTTGACATATTGTTGAAGACTGTATGTTTGGGTATATGTGTTGATGTGTTGCTAACATTTTGTTGAAGGCTGTATGCTTGGGTATATGTGTTTATGTGTTCCTGACATATTATTGAATACTGTTTGTTTGAGTATATGTGCTGACGTGTTGCTAACATTTTGTTGAAGGCTGTATGTTTGGGTATATCTGTTGATGTGTTGCTGACATATTGTTGAAGACTGTATGTTTGGGTATATGTGTTGATGTGTTGCTGACATGTTGTTGAAGACTGTGTGTTTGGGTATATGTGTTGATGTGTTGCTAACATTTCATTGAAAACAGCATGTTTGGTTATTTGTGTTGATGTGTTGCTGACATATTGATGACATATGTTTTAATACTGTATGATTGGTTATATGTGTTGACGTATGATAACTGACATATTGCTTAAGACTGTATGTTTGGTTATATGTGTTGATGTGTTACTGACATATGGTTGAAGACTGCATGTTTGGTAATATGTGTTAGCCTGTTATTGATATCACTACAAAAGTCTAAAAGTCTGAAAAGACCAGTTTTTGTCTTAATTTGCATGAACTTTTACTCGACATTCTCCAAAAGTATGACTTGTGTCTTAATTTTCCTTGACAAATTCTCATTTATATTAAATTTGTATGAAATTTACTCGACATATTCTCGACATTCTGAATATGGTCTTAAAATTTCTTGACAAATTCTTGACATTTGAATACTGTCTTGAAATTTCTCGACATATTCTCGACATTCTTATTTTTTCTCAGTATGGCTTGACATATTCTGAACATTTTGAATCGTGTCTTAAATTTACTTGACAGTTCTGAGTTTTACAAATCATGACCAATATTCATGATATAACTTTAATCTTTATTTCTCTTTATATGATATACTGTTGTTTCAAGTTACACTTCTTTACAACAAAAACGAAAGTTGGGCATGTAAAATAATTGAAAATTTGGGTATATAAATATTTTTACAAATGCAAATATGGCTATGAAATCTAAAGTATAAAATAATTCAAATGTGGGTGTGTTGATATAAAACAATTTCAATATCGGTTTTTAAATAATTACAAATTTTGATTCCTAAATCTTATAAATTAAATGATTCAAACCAATCATACTGTAGACATATTTAATTCTACATTCATAATATTCAATGTTGATATGGTAAATAATTATTATACCAAAATGTGGTTTATATAAATAGCAAATTATGATGATATACAAATCATTCATTTAACAGAAGAAAAATTTGTGTAATGTCATCTGTTGGAATATATTAAGTATTACACATGGACAGGATGTTCCCCATAAAATTAAGGTATTCCACACCCCAGAGTACACGCAACTGTCAAATAGAAGTTATTGCTTTACCTGTAATCAGCCATACAACTTATCAGTTGACCGACCATGCCACTACAATTTAAAAAGTTTGTTGATAGATGAAAATGAAAAATTGAATTGAAATGGATTTTCTTCATCAAAATTAAAAAGTTAATTATTTTAACATAAATACAAATTGAATAATTCTCAAAGATTAAAAGAAAATTATTATCTACTCCAGGAATAATAAAAAAAATGTATTTATAATGGGTCCCATCAATGATTTCTAGAGAAATCATCGGTCTTATGAAATGGTTCTCAAACAGACATGCATAATATAGATCTAAACATTTTTTCTTTTCAGGAAGGAGTTATCACAAATATTTATTTTTGATAAAAAATTATAAAATTCAACACTCAAATTTGAATAAAAAAATGTTTTTGGGTTGTTCTAAAAAATGAATAAGGTTTTTGAATCAAGATGGGAACAAATTCTTTGACCTAAACGAAAGCCCTCCCCCCCCCTCCTCTTTTTTTAGCAACACAAACCCAAAAGATGAAATGTGGGGTCCAAAAGAGATACAAGACACCTATTTTAGTAAAGCAAATTTGACTGGCAGTTTTGCGAACGGCAAAAATCTAAATGCTATTTGTCAATACCTTCGACTTATATTCCAAGTGAAAACAATTACTTAAATATTTAATAAAAATAAATCAAAATTAAACTACATGGGGGATTATTCAGGGTATTCCAACTTAGTTGCACCAAAAGGGTATCTTACTATACCAAATTAATCCTTGATTCTTCAAAGTTTAGTTTAGCCATAATAAAGGTGTATATAACAGCAATAGAATGTCATAAACAGTGCAGAATAAGTCTGTTCACATTTCAGGCGAAATTTATACTGTTGAGACAGTGTCAAGACATATTTAAGACTGTCAAGAATGTGTCGAGACATATTCAGACATTATTTAGAATGTCAAGAATATGTCGAGACATATTCAGACATTATTAAGAATGTCAAGAATATGTCAAGACAGATCGAGACAAATTTAAGACAGTCAAGAATTGGTCGAGACTAATCCAGACTCTTATCAGATGATACAGGAAGTGTCGAGAAATTTTAAGACAATGTTCATACTGATAAGACACTTGTCAAGAAAAATCAAGAACCTTATTAGACAAATTCATACTATGTCAAGAATTTTTTTAAATTATTCAGACAAATTAAGAATGTCGAGTAAAAATTCATGCAAATTCAGACAAAAACTGGTCTTTTCAGACTTTTTGACTTTTGTAGTGTATATTGCTGACATATTGTTGAAGACTGTATATATAAAAATAAGAAAATGTGGTATGAATGCCAATGAGACAACTCTCCACCAGACACCAAATGACATAGAATTTAACAGCTAAAGGTCAACGTACGGTCATTAGCAATGAGCAAAACCCATACCGCATAGTCAGCTCTAAAAGACCCCGAAATGACAAATATAAAACAATTTAAACGAGAAATCTAACGGCCTGATTTATGTAAGAAACAATGTACGAAAAAAAATATAATATACAGCAACGTTTGGTTATATATGTAGATGTTTTGCTGACATACTGTTGAAGACTGTATGTTTGGTTATATGTGTTTGCGTGTTGCTGACATATTGCTGAAGACTGTAAGTTTGGTTATATATATTGACGTGCTTCTGACATAATTTACGAAATTCCTAAAACAAGCGGGTTTTAGACAAAATGTCTAAGTATTTTTTGTTTTTACAAAAGTTCTGAAATTCATAGCTCTGGAAAATCTTCCAGAGCTATTTTCTTCTGACTGTATGTTTGTTTATATGTGTTGACGTGCTTCTGACATATTGTTGAAGACTGTTTGTTTGGTTATAGGTGTTGACGTGTTGCTGACATATTGTTGAAGACTGTTTTTTTGGTTATAGGTGTTGATGTGTTGCTGACATATTGTTGAAGACTGTTTGTTTGGTTATAGGTGTTGATGTGTTGCTGACATATTGTTGAAGACTGTTTGTTTGGTTATAGGTGTTTATGTGTTGCTGACATATTTTTGAAGACTGTTTGTTTGGTTATAGGTGTTGATGTGTTGCTGACATATTGTTGAAGACTGTTTGTTTGGTTATAGGTGTTGATGTGTTGCTGACATATTGCTGAAGACTGTTTATTTGGTTATAGGTGCTGATGTGTTGCTGACATATTGTTGAAGACTGTTTGTTTGGTTATAGGTGTTGATGTGTTGATGACATATTGTTGAAGACTGTTTGTTTGGGTATAGGTGCTGATGTGTTGCTGACATATTGTTGAAGACTGTTTGTTTGGTTATATGTGTTGATGTGTTGATGACATATTGTTGAAGACTGTTTGTTTGGTTATATGTGTTTATGTGTTGCTGAAATATAGTTAAAGACTATGTTTGTTTGTATGTGTTCACGTGCTTCTGATATATTGTTAAACTTTTTGTTTGGTTATATGTGTAGATGTGTTGCTGACATATTGTTGAAGACTGTTTGTTTTGGTATATGTGTCGATGTTTCAATGTCGTACATCGCCTCTTATTTTATATGTTTTGTCTTTTAGATACAAAAAAAATCAATGAAAAATTTACAAAAATATATAAAATTTGCAATATTTTATCAAAAATTGTCTCCAACATCAAGTTTAGCACTATAACAATATTTATTTTGCTGTTAACGATATGATTAAAATAATTTTAAATCTTTGAAGTGTAGCATTTAATATTTTCCAGTTATTTGATTTTGACTAAGTTAGTGAACACATACTGGTAAATTAGCATTTATACCACCTTGATTTGTAATACAACTTTTGTTTATTTCTATTCAGTTTCTAAATTTTAATGCTACCCTGCTGAAGTAAGAATTCAGGAAATGCCTATAATAATGAGTGGTTTTTAGACAAAATGTCTAAGTATTTTTCGAAAAGTTCTGGTATTCATAGCTCTTCTCAAGCTAATTTGTGGATGCGATGTGTTTTAATGAGTGTTCAAAATACTTACTTTTTTATTCAATGTTATTTAAAACAAATGTTTTCATCAATCAAACATAAACAAAAGCATGCACGTGCAGAACTTTTTTATTGGATTGTTTTGATGGGTACACAGCATATAGTTTGTCTCCAATCAATTCACGAGCAAATTCCCGCCATCAACAGTGTGGAACAATGCTTTTGTCCTAGGAACTAATTAAAAAATGTCAGTAAATACTTGAAACAATTACTACCTTACATAAATCGCACCGTAATCAGTTATTACGTGAATCAACATCGAAAGAACTATTTTAAACAAATGCTGTCTTCAATGACCACGTGAATCAAACATTGCTGATAGAGCCTATCAAAAACACAATTTGTTGTAAATAATTACTTGAAACATGACATTAAAATGGATGTATGTTTGATGAATTTGAAATATTTATTAGTAATTGTAATTATTTTACAGGGACAAAAAATTGTTTGATAAAACTGGAAATGCGGTATTCAGGAAAAGGTCCATTTTTGGAAAGCTGAAGCCCCATCCACATGAAAGAGAACAGACTGCATCTCTTCCACCAAATTTTAAACTTACTCGTCATAATTCGACACATGTATACGTAACAAATGAAAAAAAGAAATTTCCATGGACTCGCAACGAAAATTCCAAGTCCGAAGACGATGATGGACGACTAAGCACAATTAGTTCAAAAGACGGCTCGCGTCAGAGTAGTGAAAAACGTAAAAACGGAAATTGTGGAAATTATCGTCAAGATTCTGAATCTCAAACTGATCAAGAACTTTTCAATGCTTATGTTTCTTCGGATGGAGTACGTCATCGAAAGTTATCTAATCAACCGTTAGAAAATCTAAGACATGGTAGACATGACTCTGAAAGTTCCATTAACAGCGATGAGATATTTTTATCACATCCTCCCTCTAGCGCACAAGAAAGACGACAAATGTGCAGTAAAACTTCTCAAAGTGACGATACAAGTCCACTACTTACTAACGAAGCTCTAGAAGAAAGTTGTAAACTGATGTATGACGATTGCCCAAACAATTATCAGTCGGCAAACAACAAACATTCTAATGGAGAAAATTTACTTTTATATGCACCACCAGAAGTCTCAAGTAATGAAAAGACAGAACTTTATCTCCACCATGTGAACAAAGTAAAAGATTCCAATCAAGGTTTTTTCCTTGATCAGAAGAAAAATAAGTCACAAACAGCTAAAGAACATACGCCTGTAAATTACAATGCAGGAAAACAAGAAACAGATGAGTGTGTCTCATTTCTGCTTCAACCAACGTCTAGTGCATTATATGCAAGACGTATAAAAGACACTGATATAAAGCAAAGAGACCACAAACACACTAATTTAAATAACGTTATGTCCGGTACATATCAACTGGATACAAGTTCAAACGACCGTATGCAATCTTTCGGATTGCAAGGTACAAATTATAATCCTTGTAGCTCCAAAATAATCAAAACCAATCGACGACATTCTCCAAAATCACATACATACCAGAACAACGAATCCATTGCAGAAATTGAAAATTTTCAAATCACACAACATCCATCTAAAATGTTCGGTAGCAGTTCGTCGCCTGTATATTACTCAAAAGAATTAGCAAGTTCTTTGGGTTTTAAATCGCAGTCACTGACTCCTTCGGATAACCAGTCATCAAATTTGAAAACACTTAATATTGATAATGTAACAGAATCATCGAAAGAAGGACATTTACTAAGTGATTGTGAAGAAAGTTATAGCGTGCAAGGGTTTTTAGGGAAGGTTAAAACTCCGCCTGAATCAAAGAGTGATGTAGACAATGCTTCTATGTTGTCATTCAAAACATACATGAAAAAACGCGGCATAGAACTCGACATATCATCAATCAAATCCAGTCAAGTATGAGTTGTGCATGTTTTTTGTTAATTATATTTTATGTCAGTCATTTTTTTATCTGATATTCCTAAATTTAATCTAATTTTTCTCGTAACATTTTAGGTAAAAGAAAGAATAATTTTATGTTTTTCCATCTATAAAGATTTTTTAGTAGTCACAATTTTGTTCAGCCTTTCTTTATATGTTCGACAGAAACGTATTGACATTTGTTTAAATAGTATTTACAGGAACAATGTAGCTTTGTTATAATAATTTTTTGCTTTTTTCAATGGAAAGTTTAAAACATTATACCCAATAATTTATAATGGACATTTCCTAGTTAACAGAAATAATACCTATATCATGCAAATTTGATACCACAAAACCTGAACAGAAGATCGTTGGGTAATCCAAATCAAATGTAGACCAGATGGAAAACATAATTGTTGATGATCAGCTGGGTATTCTTTCCTTTAAATTCTAGTGTCGTCTTTTATCTTTAAAAAAACTAAAAACAAAATAATAATAATGGAGTTGTCAAGAACTTAAAAAATTTCTAAGATTTTATATCCAAAAACAATCGCATCACATCAACTTTACTACCAACAACCAGTAACTGACATGCGCATCATTTGAAAAAAAGCTCACACAGTTTGTTGAAATTTTAAATTTTTAAGTACTTGTAAAAAGATTTTAAACATATATTGAAAAAATTACATCTTGCTTTAACAAAACTAAAATGTTCCTTTAATGAAAACGTATATACATGATGGATGAGTGACAAATGCTTACATATAAGACAACATTTCTAAATGTGTTAGACTTAAGTTATAAGCTAAAGGGCGTATAACATAGACATTATTCCAATAGTCAACATTTACGGATATTCAAATAATTGCATTTTGCAAAATAAGTAATTTATTGTCAGTTTTAGTTAAATATTTAAATCTGATCATTTTTATTTGTACATATTTTTTTTAAATACCGAAATGCAATTTAAGCACACTTGGCCAAGGGCAAAAGTCCAACGTGAGATTTTGTCATCACTTGGCGTCCGTCGTTAGACGTCAGTCCATTAGTTTGTATCGTTTTTTATTTTATTTTTTAGAAGCACTAAACAGAATATAACAAAGTTTGTCAGGTCAGGTACATGTATGTGATACTTCGTCTAAAAACAAGTGTTGTCGTTTTAGTGCTAGAACAGAAATTTATAATGGTCGTCTAAAAACAAGTGTTGTCGTTTTAGTGCTAGAACAGAAATTTATAATGGTCGTTAGACGTTGGGTCAAATTTGACCATTGAAACTCTACGGGAAATTACATTTTGCTATTCTTTTCAAGAATGGATGCAATTAATGATATGAAAACAAACATTACAGAAATGCTTTATAGAAGGTACTTACTTACCAAGTGTTGTTTACTAACTTTGGTCCTGATGAAAAGTCCAATATGACTTCAAGGGGTCAAAAAGTGGTTCCTTTAGTCAGATTTTCATAGATCTTTTCAAAAACTACTGAATCGATTGAAACAAAACTTGCGGGATGTGTTCCTGGAAAGGTTATTTACAAGAGCTGTTGCTTTGTTGTTGATCGAAATTCAATATGACCTCCAACAGTGATCAAAGTTTAAATTGAAACCCCATGGGAAATTACTTTTTGCTCTTCTTTGAAAAATAGATGGAGTTGAATTAAAAAAAAACATGCAGAAATGTTGAGAAGGTACGTACGTTAGTGCTGTTACTTCTTTCATGATGAAATGTCAAAAAATGACTTAAAGGGGTCCATTTATCCATGCAACTGTCTTCTCAAGAACCAATGAACCAATTGAAATAAAAGGTGACACGGATGTTCCAGTGAAGTTCTGTAACAAGTGTTGTTACTTAAAAACTCCAAAAGAAATAGCTGTCCTCAGAGGTCAAAATTTACATTGAAATGCTACGGGAATTACTTTTTGATTTCTATTTATAAGAACAGATAGAAGGAAATGAAAAGAAATTATGTAGAAATGTTGTTTGTAAGGTATTTATCATGAGTTATCACCTTGGTTCTGATAAACAAAAAACAAATACTATTTATTATTTGAGCAAAATACATCCAAGTGAGTTATTCGTCCTCTAGTTATATTTAGATTTGATATTTTATGAGAAAGAATTCTTCATCTAAAGTTGTGATAATATTACTCTGCTGCGCAATGCAAAATTGACGGATACCCAACACTACACCATCTACATGAAAGCATGAAAATGGTGTAGTGTAAATTCATTAATGCTGAGACAAAGACAAAAACGGACAGTTTTATGGATTAATGAACTAAAATACCTGCAGACTAAGTCAACGCCTTTTTGTTACTTTTTTCCGCTCAATGAGTATTCTATGCATTTTGGTGAAGGCCCGGAAAATCTGAAGGGAAAATGACAGCATCAGCATCTTCCAAGACCAGTTTAATGACATGTCATTTTAAATATTTCAGAATATAAGCCAATCAAATCAAACTCAAAGTTTCACAAACAACCTGTGCATAAGTAGACAAAGTACTTATATTTCGTCATTCATTTCTTTCTGTAAAATTAAAATAACACATAAATTTGTTTCATCCGAAGCGCTTTTCTGGATTAATCTTCATCAGGAAGAAAAAGACGAGAAAATACCAAGAAAAAGGGGGGTTAAAACCAATAAGTCCCAAAAATCCGAAATCATTATGACCAAAATACAAAAAGGCGAACAACAGCGCACTAAACACTACCCAGAAAACTTGAGGTAGCAATACACAGAGTTTGGTTTCGTATTTTGGCCTTGGTGACTTTTTTAAACTTTGAAAGTTATTGTGCAAAAAAAGTGATTTTTAGATAGCCGAGGAATAATATAGCCTTCAAAGTGGGTTTATATGAACATCAAGTTTTTTACATATTTTTTTTTTTGGCCATTTTCACTTGACGCCATGAAAAAAGCTACCATGCCTGATGACGTCATAGATAGACCACATCTTTTTTTCAAATCATTAGAGAAACAGATTCCACTACCAAATCTCGTGCAATACGATATTTATCCACTCTCGACAGTTCAATTTTAGATATAACTGTCTCGATTCCGAATATCGTACCAAAATGGGAGATAAACATATTAAGCATATGCTGGTGGACTGTTACTAAATAGCCGAGTGGCGAGTATACAGTAAAAACACATTAAGCAGTATGTGCTGTTGGAATTTTGGTAAGTGTTGAGTATAGTACTTGAAATACCAAATTCGCAGGTGCAGTTGGGATGTTTCTACACAGCCGGGTATTGAGTATAGTAAATATCCCATAAGCAGATGCTGTCGGAATGTTTATATAGCCGGTTGGTGGACATTGATTATATCCCATGAGCAGGTGTTGTTGGAATGTGTCTACATAGCCGGGTATTGAGTATAGTAAATATTCTATTGCTGTTTTTTAAATGTTGGTTGCGAATTTTCGTTATTTTTATAGACCAACCCGTAGCCATGTCCTCATCTCACAACAAATTGGCAATGTTAACACCGCACTGAACGAATAATTATTAAAAGTTTTTTGGCTGGGTCAGATCAGACAAACGTACGTCTGTTACGTCCACATATATATATATATATATATATATATATGTTTTCAATTTAGACTTGTTTGTATATATATACAAGTCTAAATTGAAAACAACATTCAAACCTATGATTGCGTTGGATAAAAACCGCAATTTTTATACGTGTGCATGCAAAACAAATTTCTTGGTAGAGGGGTCTAAATACAGCACAAACAACATTTTCCAAAATACCAAAAAAGTGAAAAAGTATATTTTAACAAAACGCATTTGACTAGCAGGTCGAACGACAGATGTTCTTAAACCCTGCTGACTGCCATTGGCGATTGCCAAATAAACGTATCGCCAGATGTAACAAAATGGATCTTGACTATTAATTAAATATCAAACAGAAAACAATAAACTTGTGGAAAAGATGGTATATCGCAAACAAAAGGTGCAAAAATTAGTACACCATATCCGGATTTCGACAATTAATGTCTCTTCAGTGATGTTAGGAATCGAAACGGTATTTGGAAGGCCATATAATTTACCTCAATTTAGGATAGACTCTTGAATTTTGAAGAGACGAAATAGGATGAACGGATCATATAAACCCGAAGGCAAATATAATAGAAGCCCAAAAGAAAAAATGAAAACAAGTCTAAATTGAAAACAACGTTCAAACCTATGATTGCATTGGATACAAACCGCAATTTTTATACGTGTGCATGCAAAACAAATTTCTCGGTAGAGGGGTCTAAATACAGCACAAACAACATTTTCCAAAAGACCAAAAAAGTGAAAAAGTATATTTTAACAAAACGCATTTGACTTGCTATATATATACAAGTCTAAATTGAAAACAACGTTCAAACCTATAATTGCGTTGGATAAAAACCGCAATTTTGTTACGTGTGCATGCAAAACAAATTTCTTGGTAGAGGGGTCTAAATACAGCACAAACAATATTTTCCAAAAGACCAAAAAAGTGAAAAAGTAAAAGTATATTTTAACAAAACGCATTTGACTTGCTATATATATACAAGTCTAAATTGAAAACAACGTTCAAACCTATGATTGCGTTGGATAAAAACCGCAATTTTTATACGTGTGCATGCAAAACAAATGTCTTGGTAGAGGGGTCTAAATACAGCACAAACAACATTTTCCAAAAGACCAAAAAAGTGAAAAGTATATTTTAACAAAACGCATTTGACTAGCAGGTCGAACAACGGATGTTCTTAAACACTGCTGACTGCCATGGCGATTGCAAAATAAACGGATCACCAGATGTAACAAAATGGATCTTAATTATTAATTTAATACCAAACAGAAAACAATAAACTTGCAGAAGAGATGGTATACCGCAAACATGAGGTGCAAAAATTGGAACATCATATCCAGATTTCGACAATTAATGTCTCTTCAGTGATGTTTGGAATCAAAATGGTATTTGGAAGGCCATATAATTTACCTCAATTTAGGATAGACTCTTGGATTTTGAAGAGTCGAAAAAGGATGAACGGATCATATAAACCCGAAGGCAAATATAATACAAGCCCAAACGAAAAAATATAAACAAGTCTAAATTGAAAACAACGTTCAAACCTATGATTGCATTGGATACAAACCGCAATTTTTATACGTGT